CATTCCCCCTTGTCCTATTGCTACAAAATACTACGCAGTCCACTCATTCCCCTTATTGCTTGTTGGCCAGTTATTTGCACATGCCATGGGAGAGCATGTTTTGAAGGGGGAACTGGATGAACAGGGGCAGAGTGACCTTGTGAGTGATTTCTAGATCTTTCCCTGCCGCCTGCAGGCCATTAGGAAAAAAAAATGGAAAGACAGTTGCCTGTCAGCCAGAATGACTGTATCTTTTCTTAAGCTTGTGGATACATCAATTCTGTATGTATGTCAGCTGTCTGTAACTCTGTCATCTGGCTGTCCATCACCAGCAGCTGACTTTTTTTCTTCTCCTAGTTTCATTATCCCTTAAACCGTTCTTCATCAGTCAACCATTCTTTCATATTAAAACCCAGGAATGGAAACATTGCTTACATCTCCCCTATCCCCTACTCAGTTTCTCTTTCATATTTGGCTAAATAGTTAATTTAAACTATTTCTGGTATGGGAAGTGGTTATGAAGATGCAGTTTGCATGTTGGTTTTGGCTTTTGGTTTTCGTTTTTGGTTTGGTTTGTTTTTTTGCTTCTGGGCATGAGACAGTGCAGATTCAGTAAATACTTCTGTGTGTACTGAGAATGATTCCAGTGCTTTAGGTTCATTAGTCTCACAGTGTGAACTGTAATAAAAATGAATTTGACTCGATTAGATGCAATTGTAGCAACTGGAGTTAAAAATTGTGTACACATACATGTTTATAAAAAGAGGGATTGTTTTAAAAGCATGTTTGGGTAAATGATAGAGAATAATGTGCGTGGCTGGAGGACATGTCAGTGACTGTAATTCTTAGTTTACAGAAAAGAAAATGTCAGTCACTGGACCTAGTGGTCACTTCACTCAAATAATTGATGGTCCACCTTTACGTACCATGACCCAAGCAAGGTTTATACTTTATGTGTAGGCGCGAAGGTAGCACAATCATCTCAGAAATGAGCATTCAACCATTTTCAATGTATGCACATGGTACACTGAATTGGTGCCAAAAGTGTTGTATAATTGACTAAATCCGTCCTCTTTACACATGATGGCTAATGGTGATGTAATGGTCTCGACACCACTAGGCACCTTGGCATGTGCTGTGCAGCTGTGCCACGCTGCATTTTGAATTGAAAGGCAAGAAGGAGCTACACACTGCACCACAGGGAAACCAGACCAAATTACCCTGTCAGGTTTGCATAATGGAGATCCCCTTTACCCCCAGTCTTTTCAGTCACACCTACTCCTTGCCTAAAACAGCCCTTTCACATCTTTTTCCCCTCCTTTTTCCCCACATGATTTCCTTACTGCAATGGAAGGAATGCATTAGCCTTGAAGCACCCTGCAGAGTGTAAGGTCCCACAGCCAGGCCCAGAGTCCCATATTCTTTGCTAGCTTTTATTTGCACCGGAGTGCACCACCGTGTAGTGCCCACAAAACACCATGTGTGACATTGTAGGGTCAAATCTGATTAGGAATCCTTATTACTAATAAAACATTGCAGATCTGCTGGCTAGTGTTGCTTAGGGAACTTCTCTAAGCCACCATGCAGTCTGTTCTCAGCTTCACTGACATCTTTTCTTCATTCTCCCCTTTCCTACTTAATTATGTTGGTGTGAGATTATAAAAGGTATTTCACTGAGATTTTGTAGGTAGATTTTGGTTATCAATTCTCTGCATCCCCTTCTAGTCACTGATGTTTCAAGTACAACAGAAACGTTTCACAGTACAATGCAGCCAAATTTCCCATAAACTCTCCATGTGAAGGACATTTTGGATGGCAAGATAGCCTTTTGCTATTTTGCAGTCTCTTTGTCTATTTCTGCTGCTTAGTGGCTTCCTTAAAAACATACTAAACTTCTGCTAGCAACTAACTTCAGTACAGGAAAAAATGGTTGGTACCTTCTGTGAGAACCTGATAATGCTGTTGATTGAGTCACTGACTGCAAGCAAAGGTGGAACAGTTCTTTTCTGGTTGTTCCTAAAAGGGAAGAGTAAAAACCAACCATATATAGTGAAAAGACAATCCACTCAGAGAAACTGAGCACATAAACATGTAAAATACTGGAGAAGGCTTTTGTCACCTAACAGTTCATTGAGCAACTGCCGTTCCCTGGAACAGAAAGGTACGTGGGGTACTGTATCTCCATCAAACAGAAGACTGGTGCATATGATGAAAATGGTGAGAGGGCTGTAGGAGCACCTCTCCTACAAAGACAGTCTGAGAGCTGAAGCTGCCCAGCCTGGAGAAGAGAAGGCTCAGGGGACACCTTATAACAGTCTTCTAACACCTAAAGAGGGGGATACAATAAAGCTGACAAGGGTTGTTTTTTTTTTACAGGGGCATGTAGTGTCAGGAAAGGGCAGAATGGCTTTAAAATGAAAGAGGGTAGATTTAGATTGGATATAAGGAAGTTCTGTACTGTGAGGGTGGTGACGCACTGGAACAGGTTGCCCAGAGAAGTTGTGGCTGCCCCATCCCTGGAAATGTTTAAGGACAGATTGGATGGGGCTTTGAATGAGCTGGTAGTGTAGAAGGTGTCCCTGCCCATGGCAGAGGGGTTGGAACTGGATGATCTTTACGGTCCCTTCCAACCCAAACTATTGTGTGCTTCTATGATTCTGTGTTACTTGATGTGAATATTACATGGGGACAAATCGTGTTCAGTTCACATTTAACTCGATGGAGGTCATGTGTTGGAACTTGAAATTTTGAGAGTTTTTTCAGGATTTAGAAAGTTTATAAATGGCTAATTGCAAGCATGTCCCATCATGACATTTCAGTTTGAAGATGGTAAACATGTCTAAGAACCAGAATATTGGTTTGCTTTTAAAGAAGCTCCCTTCCCATGATAAAGCCACTTCTTTCGCTAGTCAGAACAGACTAGACCAGTAAAATTAAAGTGCCACGCATGCTTTAAGTTACTCATGTTTGAGACATAGAAGACAAAGCAGTATTAGATTTAGGCTTTCTGAGTGACCTGGAGTACAAGATGAAAGTCATTTCGATGATAAACAGTGCAGTTACTCAACACTTGATATCACCAGTAATCATTTTAAAAATCACTCTGCTTCTCTGTGCAGTTTTCCAAGTAAGAGTATTTGCCTCTTCCCATAACTCAAATTCCTCTGGGAGATGCTGTCTCTACAAAAGGCAGTGATTAGTAACACTGTTAAAACAGGCCTGAAGTTCTGGAGGAGGGAGCAGCTAAGAAAAATGAGATTGTGTGAAATGGGGGTCGTTCACACAGCCAGCCAGGGGCTAAACCAAGTGTTAAATGTGGAAAAATGTACAATATGTCTTAATTTTATGTTCTGAGGCTTGTCAATACCTGAACTAAAAAAAAACCCAGAATATTAGCATGTGGCATCCATCACTCTGTAGAAAATATTTAGCTTTCTCTGAATTTCAAAAGGTTAGCCTCTTAACTCTGTTTATAGATGGAAATGGGTGGAAGTCTGTTGTGCTTGGTTGTAGGCACAGCAGGCAGCTTGCACAGCCAGCCGTGCAGGGTTATAAATGACAAAGCTGTAGGATAACTGAGTGTTACTGCAGATCATACCCATAAATCATCTAATTCCTTCAGTCATCTTTCCATCAGGTGAAGGAAAACCACTTTCAGGAGCTTTGTTTGCATCACATCCATACGAGGCTTTACTAGGAAGCTATAAACTGTACTAGTATGTAGGTGATGGTGCTCTGAACTGCCAGTAGGTAGTTGGATGGGTTTGACTGGTACACAAAAATGAGCCCATAGCTGAGCAACACCTCATCCATATGACAGTCCACAGCCTTTGATTCCTAGCATGCTATTTGAAAGCATACTCTTTATTTCTTCTTTTTAACAAACAGGTTACTTTGTTTGTTTCTCTCCTACCCCCTTTCTGGCTTTTTTGCTAGCTCAGTGATTTTGTAATGTATTTTCTAGTGAGAAAGCATAGATTCATAAATAAGGGCCAGAAATGAATTAGATAGAAATAATATGACAGCTCTTGATATGCTTTACACTGAGAGAAACCTTTAAGAGGACAGATACAGACAGAAAGACAATGAGAAGACACCCATGCCTCCCCTGGAAAGCCAGACAAGAAAGCTGTTTATAGAGCGAGGCTGTGAGACTCTCCAGCAAGACTGAAGCATAAAGCAGCCCCAGACAAACAGGAGTGAAGCAATAACTTCCCACTGTCCTCCAATAACTACAAGCCCATTCAGAGATCACTTGAAGAAAAGTATTGCCTGCTCGGTGCACGGAAAACGATGACAGGAATATGCGCTGCTGTGCTTGATACTGGGTCCTGTAATGGTGATCACTTAGAGGCAGGTTTTCAGGTTAACCTTATCTTTTCCCCTCAGTTTGCTCACCTTTAGCTAATTAATTTTTCACACATCTTCATTCACCTTATTTCAATCTTTCTCAGTTCAGGCAGTTGGCAAGATGGAGATCTTCCATACAGTAATTCAGATGGACTTCTTGGCGCCTGGGAGAGCCATGAGAGAACAGTTACAAATATGTTTAAATTGCATTTTTGTAAGTTGTTATTTAATAGTAGATGCTTTTTACTTAATGAACTGTATCTGAAGAAGGAAGGGGTGCTTTGCATCTATACACATGCAACACAACAAGGTCCTAATTTGCCAAGGGCTAAAACACATACAGTGAGTACTGAGATCTCTTGGGTTTGCTGCAGCAACAAGCTATGAAGCATCTTGGCCTTGTGTCTGGTTTGGCTGCAGTAGTCATCTACTGAGTAGGACTGGACAAAATAAAATCCCTGTGCCTGCTGTAGTCAGTTGTCATGGTTTAACCAATGTCAGTGTATAATGAACAGAAGATAAACAAAAGTGACTTCATGTTAGCTTCTGGTAAAACCACTCTTATCTATTTAATGATGAAATTGAAGCTTTGCAGTTCAGCTCTCTTCTCATGATTCCTTAGTTGCAGAAACAATATGATCTCGTTATGGGACTCTCCTATCTTGTTTCAGGAATGTTGAGCCACATTAATGCAAGGTGTGTCTCCATTTAATGCTGGGCTTTCACCAAGGATAAATTTCACCGGCAGCATTTTGGGGAAACTGAAGGCACCTATCTTATTGCAGAAATCCCACATCTGCACAAAAACAAGTAAAACAATTGAAAGCTATAGATTTTTTTATCCTTTTCAGGCTTAAGTGGCAGAACAGAGAGACACTTCCTACATTTATTTTGTTAGGATGTCTTGCCTGGCTTCTCCTAGGGACTGAACAAAGACCGGATGTGCGTCTTGTCTTTTGAATGATTGGCAGACCGTGAGGTTAGACAAGTCTATTTAGAGACAGTCATAACCCCAGAATAAGCGATCTTGGAAAATACACTGACTTTGTAGTGATATGTACCTCCCTTTCCCCTGAGTACCCTTCTATTCCAGTGATTGCTGACAGAAAAAAGAACCATCTAGATAAAAAGGTTCAGAATAGAACTCTGGAAATTCTGATGAAGCATGAAAGTATTGTGCTTCAAGATTCTGGACTGAGGAGAGTACACTCTGTGCACAGTGAAATGTTTGGAGGAAAAAAGGAACAAAAGAAGGCAAACCCTGGTATTAAAGCTATAAGAACTATTTACTGTGCATCAAGTTAACTGTATTCTAACAACCACAGTGAACTCATTTGCAATGGCATATATAAACCCAAATGTTAACCAGGAAAGATATGGGAGGAGGGAAGTGGCAATGTGCGAGTACAACCACAAATTGCATCATCAGTCACAGTGGTGAAGGTGACAGGCAGGGAACAGTCAAAAACGAGCAAGGAGAGCAGTGCAGCATGCTTAATACTCCTTATACCAGTACTGCTGCCAGGGCAGGTTTTGACAGTGCCAGGGACAGGAAAGTTGAGAGGAAAAAAAGTAGTGGGTAGAAAGATCTTGCTCATATGGATGAATTCTTTCCGGGCCAAGCTTTTGCTTGAAAGCAGTGGGGAGAGGAAAACCACTTAGAATGGGTCCAGCTCAGTCAGAAGCATGTAAAATATAATGAAAATTTTGCAGAATTAATATTTCATTCCCTTAATTAGTTTTAGGGGAATACAAACCTTGTGCTTATAATTTGCATTGGCCTGTGCACCTCTTGCTGCTAACAGAAACAAGCATCCCAGTGTGGAAGTTCTTCCTCACTGATTTCACTCTGAGACAGAAGCATTTTGTACTGATGTCTGAATTTATCCAAACTTCTGAAACCCAGAGCTCTGTTACCCAAATTCCTTGTCAACCTATAGTATGGTGGATCAATGTACCATAGTTGCAGTTTGTGTATGTACAAATACCTGCATTCAGGAACTCCACATATAATTTTTCTTTGGCTTGGTCCTTTGGTTGGGTCTGTGTGGGTCTACTTATTATTTTAATTGGAAAAGTGGTAATTCTACTTATTCCTCAAAGACTGTTCAATTACTGAAGAGGTCTGCATAATACATCCTTAAATTTCCTAATATATACAAAACCAAATATAAGTTTTGTTAAATACTGAATTTTAGGTGACATCCATGAGAACTTACTAAGGGGTTTTGCTGGGTATTTTTGCGTAACTGATTTAGCTGGAGCAGAAAAGCAGAACACAGATGTCAGTTTTGAGTGTTCTGTAATACCAGATGACATATTAAGAAATACTTAACAATATTCCATGATTCAGTGACAATATTAGACATGTACCAGTGGGAATTGTATATGTTTTGAATTCTCTTACTTATGCCTGAGAAGAAAATGGACGAAAACCAGTGGCCAAAGCAATCAGCTGTACCCAGTGCTCCACTGATACTGAAAATGCATCAGATCTAGAAAATGTCTGCCTTTTACTATATTATAAAGGGAAATGATAAAACCAAATTTAAGAAGACATTTAAATGACCAATGTCTGTTGCAAGCCTGCAGCTTCATATCCTACCATTCAGTTAGGTCATCAGTATTTATTCTGCCATCTAGGTTCTTCAGTCAGCACTGCAATGATTCTCCAATAGCAAACTGCCACAATCTGTGGATGCAATCCACAGGGTTTGCTTCAAATAGAAAGGAGAAGATGGTGTTACCAATGGATTAAAAAGCCCAGCTGACAGTCATTTGACTCATCAGCTGCAGGGAATTTTCACTGAATACTGAGAATTTATGTTCTTGGGGCAGAGCTAAAATTGCAATGCAGCCACCTGTGAACAAATACAACCAAGCCTCCTTTCCCAGCGTTCCATCCCTACACAAAAAGATGGGGGGATGTGCAAGAAAAGGGTAAGCTAAGTTTCTGAACGCTGTTGAGAAGGATTTGAGAACTTCAGGAAAACAGTGTTTAAATACCTGGAGGAATGATAAGGCAGAGAATACTTGTTGACGTGTCATAATTTCTCTTGTTTAATTCCTCATTACTCTAACAAAGGAGATCCATTTTGATATAAAAACTAATACATACTTACCACGAAGTAGAGAAGAAGAAAGGGAAGGGAATGATCATTCTCTAATTCCAGTTTTGTATTACAATTATTAATAAACGAAATTTTTACCATTATTAGAGAAAGGACAGGAGCACAGTGTTGCAGCTTTGTGCAAAAATATCTTTAGACACAAGTACTGCTTCAGGCAATGCTTAGTTTCTAATATAAATGAGATTATTTTGGCAATCAGCAGACATAATCACTGAGCCTGCTCAAAATAGAGACAATATTAAATATATGAATAAAAGCACTCAGTGTCAAATTCAGCTCTTCTACTTCATGTGTTCAAAAACCCAATTGTCTGATCTCTAGTGAAGTCATTTGTGATTTTTTACAATGGGAAATAAGACTTAAATTCTACTTTTGTAGTATTTCATTTTACACAGGTTCTCAGATTTCCACAAAGCCAGGATTTAGTCCATAGGTTCTTGGTCTGTGCACTTATTAAATAGAATGCAGTCAACATTAAAAAAGCAGGTATCAGAAAGCAAATATCTATCTCCATTTTCAACTGTGCCAATAAGATACATCCTACTGTATTACTCCTGCATGAAAATCTAAACTCAGTTACATCCCTGATAGTGGTACAGATTCAACAGATGCATATGCACATACATGTAGCGGCTCTCCTATATCCTGTTTTAGGATATCATCATCTTGCACTGCACAAAGAGTCTGTCTGCTGACATAGGTCAGTTTTCTGAAATAGTAAGCAGCAAGCCTGGTTGTGGTGCTGGGAATCTAGGCAGATACTAGCTTTACAGAACTGTGTTAATAATGGAAATCATTGAGCATAAGCTGTTCATAGGCGTTTATGCAATCATCATCTTAATTATATCAAAATAGCAGGTAGCTTTTCTATGAACTTGTGATAGGAGAGGAGATCTTATTTAGCAATCAGGATCTGTCATATCCATCAAGATATCAGGACATGAGGTAATACATCTATAAAACGTTCTTGTAGATGAATTAAGTTGGTTCCACTCAGCAGTTGCCCTTCCTAAACTAGTTTCAAATGACTGCATTAAGTTCAGTTTCAATAGCTACTGCCTTGTTAAATAACACTTTTTCAGTGACATCCATGAACTAAACTCCATGTTACTATCACCTCAGATGGCTTCCTATGGATTCACTCATTGCATGGTCTTAAAAGGTTTCCATGAAAAGAGGCTGCTTGATTTCTTTATGGAAATCTGACGTCTAGGCTCTGTGGCTAATGAGCTCTAAAGAGAATGAGCCAAATAGCATCAATGCTATTTATGTACCCTCCTGTTTATTAGAAGTATGGTTATGTAAACAGTGAATATAATGTTTAATTTCCACTTACCCGCTAGTCCATCAGCTTGGACACGACTTTGGGTTTGGAATGATAGTATCACAGTATGCTAGAGATTGGAAGGGACCTCAAAAGATCATCTAGTCCAATCCCCCTGCCGGAGCAGGAACACCTAGATAAGGTTACACAGGAATGTGTCCAGGCGGGTTTTGAATGTCTCCAGGGAAGGAGACTCCACAACCTCCCTGGGCAGCCTGTCTTCAAAGGCTTAGAAATATTCAGAGAAGTTTGCCAGTTAGTACGTTGTCTTTCTCTTAGGTCATTATTGTAGCACTGAAACCAGCCTCTATCAACTTCACCTCATCACTTTTGTGAAACAAGGTACATTAGAAGAGTATGCAATGAAGAGACCAATTTTAGGCACTCTGAAGTGCCTTGGTCATCTTCACACTTTTTATTCCAATACGTAACATATCATTTGATTACAATATGGGCTGTTTGACAGGCTATGAAAACGCCTGTGTTTATAGAACTCCAGTGGGTATCAGTCATTATTAACACCATCTGTTTACCTAAGTGCTAACATTTCCAATCTGTGCTGGTTAAAGGTAAATGCTGAAGAGACATTCAGGCATCTCTGATGGATGAAAGGAGTTTTGCCCAGATGCAAGTTTTATTTCTTTTTGCTTCTTTTCTTATACTCTGTGCAAACAAACAAAGGTTCCCATGGAGGTAAAATAACTTCTCAATGAAATTAAACAGAAGGGCCTATTAATTTTTGGCACAGAGACTGTATGTTTAGCTTCCTGTAATCAAAGGTGTTGTGCTTGCTGGAATAGAAATATATATTGCAGTGTCTCACTGCGTAGACAGTTATGTTTTCTTCATGAGAAATAAATGAAATTCAATGGGAAATTGAACTTGAGTACAAAATGTGGTCCAGATTTCCATAGGGTGTTAATTATTAGCTGATGGAACTTATAAATACGCGTAACTTATTTAAAGTAGGAAAGAGAAGAGTACGAGGGATTAGCCAATTATGATATGTAATAGTACTCAAACTAATGTTGTGTGTTACTGACTGTTCAATGATACATGAGCAATAATTACATGAACTGCTCTGAATCATTTACCAGCTCTCTATAATTTATAGCTCAAGCTTTATGAAACTTCAAAGTTAGATAAAAAACATACTGAAACTGTAAGCACAGCAGACTTTTCCAGTAGTTCCTTTGTTACACTACATGATAGTGAAAAAATGCGTATGAACGTGTAGTAATGTGTTTGCCAAAACAAGATGGGATTCTTAACTTCCTCTGTATTCCTGGATTTTGTTTTTCACATAACTCTAAATGGCAGAAATTTCATTTATAAGCTCATGATTGGTTAATGAGTGCAATTCCTTTATTTCCATTTCCAAAGTCTTAGAAAAAAAGGACTGGAAGTCACAGAGCTCTGGATAATAAAAATACCCTGTTTGGATGAGTCAGAAGGATGATCTGTCTTTTTAATTGCAGCGTAGAATACAGATGTGCAAGACTGGGTAAGAAAGCATTTTGATCATGGTATCACACACCTTTATGCAAGGTGGTTCTGTTCATAAAGCACGTAGGATTTAGGATGCAGAGTTCAGCTCCCACCTTGATCAACTGCTTGATCAGTCTGCTTTGCACACTGAACTGACTGGCTGACATTCTGACCAGTGGGTTTCAGAGTCACTGAGTATTCAGTGCTCACTAACCATTCTAAAAACCTGTTTTCTGGATGTCATATTGCACAGAAGTGATATTTCTGTTGCTACTTCCAGTATAATTAATGTGGCATGCTATTTTTTATGTAGCTTTAGATGATAGTTCTGTATTTTTTCTTTGACACACTTCCACTCATTTTTTTGCTATGCTGTTCCTATTGTCGTGCTTTCTAGTCCTCTTTCTGCAACCAGATCTCTTGCTCTACTCCCTGAAAGACAAAAGATAGAGCTTCTGTTCTTCAAGCACATTTACTAGCAAATGTCTTAATTTTTGGTTTCACCTTTGAAGTTATGTAGGGGAATTAGACTGAAATACATTCAGTTATGCTCTGTCTAGAACATGCCGTATGCATCAGAACCCAAGTATCTTTGCAGATACAGTCTGTGAAGTGCCAGGACCACATATTTGTAAAGTTAATGCCATTATTTTCATTCTCTGTTTTTGGTAAGTCAGATATTTAATGGCATGTTATTGTTCAAAATCATGTTCCGAAAGAAAATGAATTAACTTAGCATAGACTGCAGAAAGACTGACACTGACACTGAAATTTCGGTTTCACATACACCCTCCATTTTGTTGTCATTTCAGTTTGCTCTATCTAAAAGTTAAAAAGGTAAATAAAAAAAGCACTTTTTGGAAAATATTTCCTGTCATCAAAATCAATGACCATTAAAATGTATGATACTCAAAGAACAACAGAAATTAAGTATTTATGGTACTTCAGAAA